CACTTTTTGATTTTCATCTTTAATACACTTTACTGTGAGAACTATATATATTAAATTTTTACTTTTATTTTCTCTTTGTTTGGTTAGTTTATACATATATTTTTCAACATCCTTAGTATCTAAACTATTATAAAGATTATTAAAAGCAGAATTTTTAGCGTCACATATTGTTCTTTTAGACTCAATAGTTCTTTTAGGCTCCCTGCGGGACGTTTGATATTTTTCACAGTTCTCTAAGCTTTTACATTTAAACCAATTTTTATAACATAACTTCTTACATTTTAACTTTTCTTGCACATTATTATTCCACCACCAACTATTTTTTTTTTATAGAAAATTTTACTTTTGATTCTCAAGTACATCTTTTTATACTTGTTTAATAATGCTTATTATTTTATCCCACATGTCATTTGCTTCTTCACGAACATCCTAGATTTTGAACTCTTGAATTTTACTCATAAAAATAATTTTATTTGTGTCTTTTAGGTACTCTCATCTAATTTTATGATGATGATTAATAATCGATGTTGAGTACTTAAATCCTCACTTAAAATGACATTCTCGACGATCTATTCTTCTCATAAGAAAATAGTCAATTTGTGTTTTATTATATACATTCTTATAAGTAATAATATCCTCATCTTTTTTTCTTGAATAAAGTATTAGCAATAACAAAATCATACGCTAAAATAAAATCTAATATAATTCTATCTTTTTTATTAATCACTCTAAAACCGTAGTCACCATGAATATTTCTAAAATCTTCTACCACTCTACCGACATGTCCATTTAAATCTCTTCCAATAAAAATTCTTTCTTCAAGAGATATCATTTGTATTAAGTCTTTTAAGTCATTCCAGAATTTAATTTTAGAACTTATATCTAAACTTACTTGAGGAGCATAAACATTTATAATATTAAAAATTTTAGTATCAACAATAATTTAAGAGCTATAATTCTATCTCCAACCCTATTAATTTTTACAATATTATATTTCTATTATATTTCAAACTCTTTCAAACTCTTATCTATAATTACACCTACCCCGTTTCTAATGCGACTCTTATCTGAATACCAAAGTTTAAAAGCTAAGTTATCATTCTCCTTAGCCTTTTCTTCAACCCTTTTAGTTTCTTGAACACATAAAATATTTATCTTTCTATGTATCATAATATCAACTAATTTAATAAGTTTACTAGTAAGAACACCTATATTCCAAGATCATATCATAATATTAGTTTTGTGAATTAACTTTTTTATCCGTATTGGTCTGTAATGTATGAACTCTTACTTATTTGACATTACACCTTAGCGCCGGCATAACAGTCCTTGCACACTTTTCACTGTTTTCGGACCATACAACGCGTCGTTTTCAGGAGACGCCATAACACTTACACCGTGATCAAAATGATTAATGTCATGATTTTTTCGACAAGTTTTACACTCGTAATGAACTAACGCAATCCTCCACTTTTCACATTCAGGCTTGAGACCGACAATGACAGTGTTAAACAACTAAATTTTTATATTTACATATATTCATAGCATTTAATTTTTAAATAGCAGATCAAAAATACTATTATTACTTATTTTTAAAAGTGAAATGCATCTTCTAATATATGATATATGAAACCAAAATATTATATGTGCCTAAAATATTTTAGGCATTAGATACGAAAATAAATAAAAATTTTATGGTATGGTGGAGATTAGGGCTGTCAATTTGGCTCGTTGTTCGTGAACAGCTTGTGTTCGGCTCGTTAAGCAGCTCGTGTTCGGCTCGTTCGTTAAGCCTAATGAGCCGAACACGAACAAATTTTTAAGCTCGAAATGTAAACGAGACGAACAAGAACAACAGTTTGTTCGCTCGTGTTCGGCTTGAAATGGCTCGAAAAAAAAAATTATATAAATTTTTATATAACAATATATTACATATATTATTTATATAATAATATATTATATATATTTATGTCTAAATTTAAATAATAATACCTCATGTAGCAATATGATTAGTGTCTTCTTTTGTATAGATTTGATCCAGGTTCGAATCCCACAATTTACATCTATTTTTCTCTATTTTAGTTTAACGAGCCAATTTCGAGCCGAACACGAACACGAACACATTGTTCACGAGCCGATTTCGAACACGAGCGGATTTCGAACACGAGCTATTTCGAACAAGCCAAGCCTGAGCTCGCTCAAGCTCGGCTCGTTTACAGCCCTAGTGGAGATACTCTTAAGGAAACTTGTTATTCTTCATATGTTCATGATAAAATAATAATTAATACAAAAATTCGTTTTGGTTAGATATATACAAAAATTCGTTCAAACGAGCAAGACATTTTAAAACAATAAAATTAATTACCAAAGTTATGAAAATCGTATCGACATTGAATTTTAAAAATAATAGAGAAATTCAATCATAAATTTAAATCTGCTTAGATATTTATAGTTATGTACATATACAAATTTTAAAATATTTTAATTCAAGTAGACCGCGCTGCTTTTTTATTTTTACTGATAATTTTTTCTCAACCTAAAGGTAATAATGATTTTTCTAGCCACTAAGGGTTCGTTTGGGACAGCAATGCAATGGCGGTGTGGCAACACCCTACAGTTTTGTCCGTTTGGATAAACTGCATTTTTGCAGCTTTTTCAAAAAACTACTTTTGAAACCAACATTTTCCCACTGGTCATCTCTAGGCGTGATGACAGTTTTCTAGTTGCGCTCTAACTTTTTCAAAAAAAGAAAATTGTAATAACTACCATAACTTTTTTGCAATATAAGCTTATTCTTCAGCATCTTTACAGTTGTTTCTTAATAAGTTGCAACAATCCCAAACAGACCCTAAATTTATTTTAAGATAATGCTAGAAAAAAATTAAATTAATTATCATTCATCAACATTTAAATAAATTTAATAGCTCGAGAAGTGCTCATAAAACTTGAATAAAAATACCCTCATACAAATGTTTCTTAATAAGTTGCAACAATCCCAAACAGACACTAAATTTATTTTAAGATAATGCTAGAAAAAATTAAATTAATTATCATTCATTAACATTTAAATACATTTAATAGCACGAGAATTCCTCATAAAACTTGAATAAAAATACCCTCATACAAATATTTTCATGAAAACTTTTTTTTTTTTTTTGGCAGAAAAAACTCAAATTAAAGTATAAAAAATAATAATAGCTAACAAAATTGGCACAAAAGAGTTAGAATGTTAGAATCCTCAACCTAAACTAAACAAACTTACAGAATATGATTTAAGAATGAGTTGTAGACTCCTTAAATAAACGGGGAAGCACCTCATGCAAATCAATATCCAAGACCTCAGGATCCCTGGGAAATGAAATGTCAATAAATTAAGACCAAAGTATTGGGGAATAAAAAAGCATTTTGACATGGAAATAAATATTTGAATTATTTTGTGAAAAAAATAGACTTTCAAAATGTTATTAATGGTATTTTAAGTTTTTTTTTCTTCGTATAAGAAAGGTTGGCAAAATACTGCTTACATACAATTGTAAATAAATTTATCCATGATAGGCAAATAATTTATGAACAACAATACCAACAACAATAACAATAAGCCTTTATCTTATTAAGTGGGGGCGGCTACATGAATCATTCATCTCCATTGTGTCCAATCGAGTGCCATATTTTCATTTAATTCTAATAAATTAAGATATTTTTTATACAACATGGCCAAGTCTTTTTAGGTCTACCTTTATCTTTCTTAACATAGTAAAATCTAAACATCAGCTCTCTCTAATCTTGTTTGCCACTAAACTTACACCAACCCTATCAAAAATATATTCGTTTCACATTTTGTCTCTTAAGTGTAAAGCCACTCATCTACCTAAGCATTACTTAACTTAGTTTTACTATTTTCTTTTATAGGCCAACATTTTGTGCCATAAAACATTGAAGGCCTCATCACCATCTTATAATTTTTTTCTTTAAGTTTAAGCGGTAGTTTTCTATCACACCTGATGCATTCCGCAACTTCAACCATCAACTTGAATTCTACTAATAAAAACCCCATTTATATCACCATCGCTTTGAATAATAGTCCCAAGGTATCTAAAACGTTCACTCCTAATGATTTGATCACTCATTGTTATGATTAGATAAAATAATAATTATAGAATAATTATAGTAGCCCTAGGATTTAGGAGAATATAGTAGGGATCCCACAACTCAATGAAGTTGTAGCGACCAAAAACGTAAAAATGAGTCTCCGAGTTGTTTCTCAACTTGAAAACATCAGGGAGAAAATTGTAGTATATGATGATTTTTAAAATATGTAGCATGTAGAGCAATACAACTAGATTGAATAAACAGTACAATTAAAGGGCATTTATATACATAGCACACAATTCTTATGTATTCACATCTCACACCTAAACTCTCATATTTTCACACATAGCTTTTAAATCTTTAATATCACATCAAAAATAGTACTATTATCATTTTTTAAAGGTGAATACACCCTTTCATGCATAGATATAAAACACCGAATTGCCATATATGTAAATATGGAAGTTTAGGAGTGAGATATATAAATACATAAGAATTATATGCTATGTATGTAAATTTCCCTATAATTAATCAAAAACTAAATTTTAAAAGCTCATATATATATATATATAATTAATCAAAACATCCCCATTTATATCACCATCGCTTTGAACAAAAGACCAAAGATATCTAAATATTTCACATCTTTCAATAATTCGATCACCCAAAGTTACACTTCTATCACTAGGGCTACTACTACTAAAATTACATTTCATGTATTTAGTTTTAGTTCTACTCAAACGAAGGCCTTTAGACTCCAATATAACCTCCACAATTCAAGTTTTTTTCATGGGCTTTATCTCTTGTCTTATCCACAAGAAGGATATCATTAGCAAAAAACATACACCAAGGTACATCCTCCTGTAAATGTCCAGTAAGACCATCCACAACTAAAGCAAAAAGATACGGGCTTAAAGCCGATCCCTAATGTAATCCAACAAAAATAGGAAAATATTTAGTCAATCCACCTTCTATTCGAACACAAGAAACAACTCTAATATACATATCTTTAATGACTTGAATATAAGTCATATCAAAAGCTTTCTTCTCAAGAACTCTCCAAGCAAATATCTCTTAAAACCTTATCGTAGCTTTTCTAAATCAATAAAAACCAAATGTAGATCTTTCTTATTATCTCTGAACTTCTCCGTCAAACCTATCAATAAATGAATAGCTTTCATAGTAGACCCGCCCGACATAAATCCAAATTGATTATAAGAAATCTTTGTAATACGTCTTAGACTATGTTCAATTATCCTCTCCCATAATTTTAAAGTATGACAAATCAACTTAATTCCTCTATAATTTGCACTCCTGTGCATCCCCTTTATTCTTAAAAATGGGGACCAAAATACTCTCCTCCACTCCTCGGGCATCTTTTTAGTTTTTAAAATAATATTAAAGAGTTTAGTAAGCCAAGAAACTCCTAAATCTCCTAAATATTTTCACACATCAATTGGGATATCATCAGGTCCTACAGATTTTTCACCTTTGGTTTTCTTTAAAGCTACATCAACTTTTTTTTGCGACGTTAAAAATGAATCATTTTATTATTATTAACAATATTAAGATCACTATGGTCAATCGTATTTTCAGAAACTTCATTAAAAAGTTTATCAAAATAACTCGCCCACAAATGTTGAATATTTTTTTCTAAGGAAAGCAATTTTTGATTGTCATCTTTAATACACTTTACTTGAGTTAAATTTTTACTTATTTTCTCTTTGTTAGGCTAGTTTATACATATATTATTCACCATTCTTGGTGTCTAATCTATTATAAAGGTCATTATAAGCAGACTTTTAAGCGTGCGGACCGTTTGATATTTTTTTCAGTTCTCTAAGCTTTTACATTTAAACCAATTTTTATAATATAATTTCTTATATTTTATCTTTTCTTGCACATTATTATTCCACCACCAACTATTTTTATTTGTAAATATTTTTCCCTTTGATTCTCCAAGAACA